AACCGGCGATTTTTTGTTTCGAATTTTCTAATAGCAATATCCATTGTAATGCCTCTAAAATTAAAGAAAGCAATAAAGATTAATTATTCGGAGGTAGGAGTTAACGCAGATTTTATTTGCTATTTCATTTAGGTTTCAATGCTGTTTGCAACATTTCTGTCGCTTCCTTGTCCATGATCAAAATTTCATGACCTATGATGTTATAAACATCACCCGCATCAAGAATTTCTTCTGCTGTCAAAGCATGAACTCTCTGCAAATTCCTTGAGGCAAGGTCTAAATTATATTTATGTTCTTTAGTCAAGATTAAGATTGAGTGGCCTTGTTTCCTATCTTTAGCAAGGGGATCCCATGCGTTGCTATCAAGAATAGCTTTTAAATCTTTTGTTTTTTCTGTTTCTAAATGCACATCTTGGACAATAACAAGCTGGTCTTGCACAAATTTTGTAGCAAGAGCAGAGCGGAGAGCTAACTCTTGAACTTGGCGTGGAAGGTCAGTAGCGTGAGAACGTGGTCTGGGCCCATGAGCAATTCCACCTTAATCGACCATTTTTGAAATCGTTGGAACATGGAAATTATATCAAATTACTAAAAAATACACCGCACATATACTTACCACCCTTCCAATGAGGTGCACGATGACTACCAACTCTTGCTTTACCTCTTCCCTTTTGTGGTGCCCATTTTTTTGTTGTTCCGCTTACTTCACTTCGGTTTTTAGTCGAATGTGTTCCCTGTCTCAGACAGTCACGTTGCCAAATGACCGCTCGCTGAAGTATATCTTTCCTGATAGGTGCACCAAACACTTGCCTTTCTACGTTCATTATACCCAAAGGCAGATTGGTCTTGAAATCACGATACCATGCTTGAAGAAACGAAGGATATACTGGAAGTGCTATTATTATATGACAATAAATTTATCAAAGTATAAATGTTTGATCTGTTTACAAATATATCTGTATTTTTACCAGTGTTGAAAATTCAAATTTAAGTTATCATAAAACACAAATGTGATAATTTTATGCTCTCTAATTTATGTTTCCAGTTACAGACTAAAAAAGATTGTATGTCAGCTAACAAGTATTAATTATCTAAGAATATCAGATACAAGTATCAGTAACATAAAATGAATTTATATTTAAGTGTTCTCACGCATGAGAACATAAAAACATTCTCAGATCTAGAGTTGTGTTCTCTGAGAACTCGAATTTCAACACTGGCTGTTACCGAAAGTAAATATCCAACAATATTTTTTGGTAGAAATAAAAAACATTTTATTTATTCAAAAAGCAAGCTCTTTTTAGAGTTCGTTCCAAAGCTTGTTAAAAAATGGATATTTATTTTCGAGATCGTAAATAAATTTGTACCTTTAAGTATAACAGGTGCTTCGGGTGGTTGCTCAACGATAGTTGCCTAAGTTTGAAATGCCAATTTATAAATTTAAGGAAAAAGACTATTCCTTTTATTTAGTAGCACAATTGTCACCTTTGTTGCAGCAGAGGTATTTAGAAACCCGCATCCTTGCCATCGTCTAAAAAACAATTTGGTACATTTATTAATCCACATTAGGCCAGATCAATTTAATTCATAACCTTTTTTTTTTTTTATGAATCAATGCACATCATTTAAAGTTATTTATACTGTATATTTTTACAGAATTGTCACTTAAAATTAAGATGATATCACGAAAAGTTGATGAAAATCGATTTTATCACGGACGTTTGTCACCACAGAAAATCGTGCATGCTGTATGTTCGATCATAGTCATCACCCGTTTTATAATCATGTGACACTTAAAGTTAAGATCAATTCTTGTTCTATTATTCGCAGCAAACGCGCTTTCAGTTTTAATTACTCAAGATCGGCCGATTCATATAATATTAAGCAATGTCACGCCATCGAAATATCAGAAAACTCAATGTTGCAGGTACTTGTTTATGTTCAGATTTCAAGTTGTCTTATGTCACTTTATTCTTACTGTATCCTTTACCTCTAAGAAATTTTTGAGGAAGAGTACGAATACGAAGAGGAATATGGAGGTGGTAAGTATTCCTATTTCGAAGATCTCTAAAAATTTGATTAACATATAAATATTTAATTTTTCTAGAAAATTTTGAAATGACATTAAAGCATAAAAGTATGTAATTTAATCATATTATTTAATTTATCTGCCTTTCGATATTTATGATATTTTGGCTTTTGCACGAATAAAGAACAAATGGAAGAAGGAAAGATAAAGGTTAAAAGCGTAATAGGACAAGTGGAAGGTGTCACCGATAAAGATATTGAAGATACATTATGGTATTACTATTTCGACACCGAAAAAACTATAAACTGGCTATTAGGTACTCTAAATTTTATTTTGTAATTAAGATAATATATATGGATTAAATTATAAATTAATGCTTATATTGACAGATAAAGTTCATAAGGCTCAATCACGAAAACAAAAGCAATCTCAAAAGCAGGCTCCTTCAAATAACTCACAAGAAAACAAAGGTGATTTATCGGTTCTGGTATTTTTATTTTTATTCCATTTAAATTGCATGAAAAGATGGATAGTGGATTGGTAGGTAAGGGGGGGAGCAAATATAATGAAAATATAATAAATATTATGTACGATATCAAACAGTAAAACTACGCTTTCTTAATAAATCCTAGGCCATACATTAATCGAGAATCTTTCTGCTCGATATTCCCTTTCAAAATTTGATAGATCCCAATATTAATATGAACAATTCATTGTTGAAAGATGGATATCTTTGTCCTACGACTCCCCGAACAAAAACACCAATTTTTAGGTGTTCACAGCCAGTAATTGATTCATTGTCAAAAAACAGTAAAATAATAAGCTGTATCACTCTGTGGGATATTTGGTCAGGACATAATGTCAACTGGAGGCGTCTTTTGAACAACACAAAATCGTCCGTAGAAACCCCCATTTTCGCATTAAATCAAAATTGTTTTGCTCGTGGCGGATTATTAGGTGGCGCTGATTCAGAAAACCCGAATTCCCAAACTAGACTTTCATCTATAAGATCTACATCTGCATCTTTGGTTTCTTTATCAGATTTGTCTTCAAATTCTCGATCGAGCGTCAAACAATCTCAAAAATCATCATTATCTGCTTTGGCTGCAAATTCACTACAAAAGAAAGATTCAGAATCACTTACAAAGTCGGTTCTGTCCTCAAATTCTGGACAACAAAGTCAAGGATTATCTTTGTCATCATTGGCACAAGAATCTTTATCACGTTCAACCGGTCGAATTTCATTGACAAAACTCGTGCCAAGCAAAAGCAAGACAACTCATTCATCACAATCGACAAATCTAAATACTAGAATATCTCAAAAATTAATCTCATCTGATTTAAATTTCTCAAAGACGAGATTGTCGACAACATCGCCAAACCTCTCTGATTCAACGCATCCACTGGAGCAGTCGTCATCCAATTTAGATTCTAATGCATCAATTTCATTTAATTCGAATCATACGGAACACAGTTTTTTGAAATCTAGTTTTGGATCTCAGCCTTTAAACTTTCAGAAGGACACAATACCACATTTTCCGACAACAGATAGCGTGAATACCTTGCAGATCCAAGCTCCATCGAACCCTCTTATTGCGCCTCCATCCATATTCGCTATTGCAATGTTTGCAAAACTACAAGATGTGCAGTTACCTTCTAACGACCTTTTTACATTTGAACTTTACGCAACAGGGTCAAGTAATCAAGAAGGTTTTGCATTTGATAAACCAAGTCCGGATGATATTGTTTTAAATGCTCAGAGCAAAAAAGCTTCTAGTGCTTCAAAAAGTAAGGTCATATTCTTTTGAAGTTTTAAATTAATATTTATTATTAATTTAGCTTATATCTTTCCTTCTTTCTGACTAAAAAGGCAAACAAATAGCTACAAAACCATCCCCGTTGTTACCACCAGTGCATGCAATGAATAATGGAACAAAAAAAAGTATAGATGCATCAATTAAAAAGAGCGATGATGATATTGAAATTTTAGAGGAAGAATATAAAGAAGATGAGCAATTGAAATTTGATATCGGTGCACTTTCTTTGAATTCCGAAGCAGAGTCAACAAAAATTTCATTTAACAATATCACAACACCTATTAAAGAATCTGAAAATCAAGGAGCAGTATCTCCTCAGTTATTGTCAAATGAGCAAAAAATTCCAACAAAGGCAAACATAAAGTCTTCAAAACGTATTGATGTCATTGAAGAATATAAAAAGCGTGATGCTGAAAAGTTTCCATTAAATTTAGTGGTGATCGGTATGTGATAATATGAAATTAAAAGTTTAGATGTTTTTACTTATTTAATTTGATTAATTAAAAATTTTTGAAATGAAAGGGCATGTTGATGCTGGAAAAAGCACTCTTATGGGACACTTGTTGTATTTACTCGGTGAGGTTAATGAGAAAGCTATGAAACAATATGAAAGAGATTCTTCAAAAATTGGAAAATCATCTTTCGCTTACGCGTGGGTTCTTGACGAAACTGGCGAAGAACGAAACAGGTTTGTATAAATTGCTTTTCTATGAATCGTTTCTCCTCTACGCTCTCAAATTAATTAATTTTTATTGCTTTCTTTAATTTTAGAGGCATTACAATGGATATTGCTATTAGAAAATTCGAAACAAAAAATCGCCGGTTTACTTTATTAGACGCTCCTGGCCATAGGGACTTCATTCCTAATATGATTTCAGGAGCTTCACAAGTAAGAATTTAAAAGTATTTTACTTTATAATATTTCATTTATAATTTTTGACCGATTTTTTATTACAAGGCTGATGTTGCTATCCTCGTGGCTGATGCTACAGTTGGAGAATTTGAATCTGGTTTCGAAGCAAATGGTCAAACTAAAGAGCATGCATTATTAATTAGAAGTTTAGGTGTCCAGCAACTAGTTGTTGCTGTAAATAAATTAGACACTGTAAGTGCTTCATTATATCTCACAAGATACAATAAATGGTTAAACAATCAATTTAATTGTGACAAAATCCACAGGTAGAATGGTCAAAAGCTCGATATGATGAAATAGTAGAAAAGTTGGGGGCCTTTTTAAGCCAGGCTGGCTTTAGAAAAGATAAAATCGCATATATACCATGCAGCGGATTGATAGGGGAAAACATTATCCGCAGATCACCAGGTATTTTAAATTGGTATAGCGGAGAGACTTTAGTTCAGCAAATAGGTTTGTCATAAATTTCTACATCTCTTGTACTAGTTGATTTATGTTTTATTGTTTTTTTTTTCTTGCATGTTTGATAATTAACCAGACGCGTGTTTTTAGACAAGTTTGAACCACCTACACGTCTTCTGGAAAAACCATTTCGTCTTTCCGTGTCTGACTTTTTTAAGGGAGGCATAGGAAATATTGCAGGTGTTACTGTTGCTGGTAGAATAGAAAGTGGCACAATACAAGTTGGGGAAGAAATTATAGTAATCCCCGGCGGAGAGAGTGGCGTAGTCAAATGTAAGATTACATAGCAATCATTAAATATTACTGAGTTGCATAATTTTAATTAACAATTTTTACTGTTTCGCCCGGATATTTAAAGCTTTGATAGTTAATGAAGAGTCGTCTAAGTGGGCAGCAGCTGGGGATTCTGTGATGTTGACTTTGACAGACCTTGATATTCTGCAACTTAAGTACGTTATGAGCATCAATCAGTTAATTGGATGACGACTGCTCCAGTGGATGCGTTGAATCAGAGAGGTTTGGCGATGTTGTCGACAATCTCGTCTTTGAG